AGGCGTCATCCGGCGCACATGGCTAGTTGCTATCTCCTTGGACTCCATTCCCGTGCTGTATCTTCAATAGGAAATGAAGAATTATGACATGTAAGAGCTTCTTCTTGGAATAAATTCAAAGTCAGTTTGGGAAACTGAACGCACATTTTTGAGAAGTGACAGGATGACCTAAGATTTGATTCAAAGTCACTGGAGACTAGAGTGTGGCATTTACTCTGGTCCAGGGGCTCCCAGGGGGAGAAGGTCATTTTGCCATAGCGTGGGCCTAGGAAGAGGCTGGAAATAAGCCAGGTGTTGAACAATGGAAGAGGGTGCAGAAAGGGAGAAAGGGGTGTGTGGGCCAAGCCAGAAAGGGAGACGGGAATCTCAAGCAGGAATTACACTAAAGCAGGAGTTGGCAGTGTGGGATTGGCATTCTGGAAAGAAGCCACTATGGTTTGAGGCTGGGGAATCATGGGCAGAAAGGTGGGGGGTGAAACCACAAGGTTCCGTGAGTAGTCCCCAGGAAACAGAAGATGCCATTTGCATCTTGGAGATCAGCTACAGTTGGCAACAAGTCCCTGAGGGTAGGGACTATGCATGCCCTGTTCCCCATTGCTTCCAGAGTCTAAAAGAAGGCCTCCCACAACCCTCAATAAATATGGACTGGGCAGATGAAAGGGAGGAAAATCAGCACAGTCAGAGTGGCTTGGATGCTAAGGATGAGAACAAAGAGGAGTATGGTCAAGTTTTGCAAAGAGATCAAGGATGGTGAAGTCAATGTTTCTGGGTAAGCGGAGAGAGACATGGAGCTGCAGGGCTGGGACCCTAAAGAGGTTCAGGGTTGAGCGCAAGGTGATCAAATGGACCCACTCTGCCAGGGAAGAGAGGAAGGCATAGCTAGCCAGGGCAGGGACAGGTCCCTGTGCACAGGCCCACCAGCAGGGGCAGAGATCAAAGGGATGGAGAGGTGGGGTGGGCTGGCTCTGGGAAGTGACAACCAAGATGGAGACAACCTGTGACTAAACCAGATGCCCTGATTTGGGGACAGAGAGAGGGAGGACACTGCTTAGCTCCCCAAATAGCCTCTGCTCACTCCACCAACAGGCAAACAGTCTTCTGAGAATAGGTCTTGGAAAGAGGGATGAACAGAGAAGTCTAGGGCCTGAAGCAGAGCCAAAGCGCCTTCCAGCTGGCCTGGGGGAAAGAGCCAAAACGTGACTCCTTGGACAGCAGCTGGAGATCCAGCCCCAGCATATGTATAACTACTGTGGCCCAAGGCTGTCACGAGGTGACCAAGGGCCCTGTGTTGCTACAAACACCTCCAACTTCTTCCCACTGGTCCCTCTAGGCCAGCCCTATGATTTCTCATTCCATACGATCTAGCCCCAAATCAGCTGTGTGACAAGGAGGCCTGGATCCATTTCCTGACATTTTTGAGAACCAGGGGGTTTTCAATACACAAGAAGGGGGCCTCATTAGGCTTCAGCTTCCACACCTATTCCCGAGTAGGACCTTTATCACTCGGGTTTTTCAGAATCCCTGGAAAGGCCAAATAAATTGAGAATGAAGACGATGCCAAGCGTAGAGCGCTTCTTGGGAATGCAGGCAAGCCTCTGAAAAGGGATGGTACAAGGCAATCTCCAAACACCCTTGCAGCCCTGACATGCTGTGAAAAATGCTATGGATCAGATGGAAGGCAGATAGAGGGAAAGGCAGGGAAAGAGCGGCATCCTGATAACTCTGATCAGAAAGGTCCCACCACTTATGGTAAACACATATTTAAGAAAGCGAAGTGCTTTTGTGCTACATCCATCACCGGGAGACTCAGGAAAATGTCTGAAGCCAGGTTGCATGACGTCCCTGCGATCTCTTCCCATGTTGCGCGTTTTTACATGGGATGCAGAAGGGAATCAGATGGGAGATACCTCGGGGGACGGTTAATATGAGCACTTCTCCTCCCTTAATCCCGTTTCTTGCCATCCCCCCAAAAGCGTGACCCCAGCCTTGTCTGCAGAATCACCAATGTTCTGCGCGTATTTATCTGCCAGCGTGCATGTGGCTTTAATTATTTATGACAGTGTCTCATCACACTCGGGGATGTGTCTTGGAGTCACTTTTCTCAGCTGATGAAGCCTTTATAATCAGAGACCTGCTGCCGCTTACCCAGTAAATCTCAGCCCGGGGTGGGGGTGGGGGTGGGGGTGGGGGAGGTGGCAGGCGCTGCCCTTCCCTGGCTGTGTGAGTCAGTCGTAGACTCACAGAGGCAGGGTTAGCCAAACCTGGTTACAAGGCTCCTGCACACTGTTTGTTGTTGCCATACGTGCTTTCTGAAAACAATTAGGAGCCATCCACTGTCTACTGACAGGACAAAACATACTGTTTCCTCCGAAAAGGACACTTTCCCTAATATTGAAGGGTTTTAACAATCCAGAATCAGCTTTGATTTCCCCTGGGTGAGGTGTTTGTTTGTTTATTCCTTCAGATTTTCATCCATAAGCTTGCTTCCCTTCCACCTCCACGGACCCTTCCTGTTTATACAGAAGTAACACCTGGATCCTTCAAAAGTCTACTTCCAATCACAAACTCAGGGATTAGGGAGGAAAGCTTCTCTTCCACACAGCTGGTAGGGCCATCACTCCTTGGCTGGGGCTGGGTCCTGACACTGAAGGGCACTCAGATCCTGTGGCTCTCCACAGTTCACTCTTATTCTAATAGCCCAGAGGAAGCCGTCCTCCCATGAGCAAGATCCATTCCCACCTGACAAGCACTGAGAAGCTGGTATCAGGAGCACATGAGCACAGATACAACCCAGAGACTCTATAAGAGAAGCCCAGAACTTCCCCTACAGGGCACATAGTCCATCCTCATTATTCAGATTCTGGATTCACAAATTCACCTTCTTGCTAAAACTTACGTGTAACCCCCAAACTACGCCTGGCAGCACTTTCGTAGTCATTCACAAACATGAAAGAAGAGGTGAGAAATGTGAGTCACCTGATGTGCACATTCCCATGTGACATTCTGTCTTCTTGTTTCTGGTCTCCTACCAGAAATGAGTGTCCTTTTTGTCGTCTATTTGGTGCCATTTTTTGCATATTTGTGCTTTTGGCGGGGGGGCGGGGTGTGGGGGGATTTCCCAGGTTTAAATTTTCCCAAGCATAATGCTGAAGCGCCATCTAGCATTCCTATGAGCAAGAAGGCCTATGGAACAAACAGGTGTGTTAGATACGCTTCGCTCAGGCCCGAGTCATAGTGCTGACCTTGAGATTGCTGTTAATGAACCACAGCATCCATTAAATAAGTATCTCCAAACAGAAGCACACATAAAACAGGTTATGTATTGATTAGTTGATAAAAATGTTGTGACCAGACATTCAGAGGAACCTAACCCTATATGTCCCCTAGGAGCCATGGTTCAGGGTCCACTAATTCAGTGTTCCTGGTGACTTTATTGGAATATAACTACTGTGAATAATGAGAATCAATTGTATATTCAATACAGCAATGCCTACGTCTTTGCTCAAATGCCAGCATCACTCTAGAAAGCTCAGCATCACCAACTCTAGACTGAGCCTGGAGCCATGCGATCATCACAGAAAGGCTTTCCTTCCAGCCACACTCACATCAGCCCAAGATGAACCTGCCTGGAGGCAACACCTTTAGCCAGAGCAGAACCATCCTAAACACAGTGTCCCCCACTATTTATCTGAATCACAGTTTATTTTTTTTCCCTTGTCTTGGTCCATAACCCAGACATCCTTCCTCTGACGTTGATAGGGTTATGCGGTAAACAGAGACCAGTTCTGGAGGGCACCCAAGGTTGGGAGTCACATGATGACCTTATTCTGACTTGAGCCCAGTCCCTCTCACTGTGGCCATCGTCTCACTACAAACAGAACCAGGGAAACAGAAGCAAAGGTCAATTAGAGAGCTGAATGCCTGCTCTGCTGTAAGGTGGACAGCAGGAGCAGCAAGAGTTCTGTGAGCTAAGGTGAGGCCCGAGGACAGAGTGCTCAGCCAGCAGAAAAGCAAGACCTGCGGTGCTTCTTCCTTGGCCAAAACCCTGAACCCATAGAGAGAAGAGAACCGATGGCAGAAGCCTGGGGACAGCCTCCCCAAATCTCAGTTTTCCTGTCTGTAAGATGAGGCCTTAACCTAGCCCATCCCTTCCAGCCCTCAGATGGCCTCGAGAGGCCTTTGGACTGTCTCCTGAACTAGCTGACCATTTCTCGAGGGCAGGAGAGGGTGTGCACTGGATTTGCTAGGCCTACACTGCACCTGGAACACAGCAAAAGGAGCACCTGCTGAGTGGAAGGTCCAAGCCCCGGAGGCTCCAGAAGCTGGGAGAGGCCCGGGGAGCAGGGAGAGACCCTAGCAGAGCTCAGCAGAAAGACAAGGAGGGAGGCTGGAACCAACAGTGGGCGAGAAACAGGGAGGAAACAGGTGCCCTGAATCCTCTGATCCCTGTGGGACATCTGCAGAGGGGGGTGAGGTGTCCTAGCACTGGGGCCTTGATCAGGTTCTCAGAAAGTGCACACTTCGGTTGCACTGGAGAGGCAGCTAGAGAGATGTTTCCATTCAAACAGTACTCAGCACCCTTCATTCCCTTCTCTTCTCCTGGAGGCTTGGGCGGAGGGTCTGATAACCTCAAGGGTTCCTATCTGGACAGTGTTGGGTTACATTTCCTAAATGCAGAGGCCAGGTCTCTAGAAAAGACCAGCCCTGTGTGTGTCCCCTGACTTCCTGGGAATACCTCTTCATGTGGGGCTGGGCCTCCTACATCTAAGCTCCCTCCTAGCCTGAGCCCTCTCTGCCCAGGAGACTCTGCCCCAATGAAGACCCCTAGCCCAGGCTACTTTTCAAGTTTTGAGACAAATAGGGAGGGTGTCTTAGAGAGTGGGAGGTTAGCAGGTGGTAGGTCATCTCAGAAGGTTTCAGAACCCCAGCTATGTGGTCTATTGCCATGCCACCCTCCCCTGCCCTCCCCAGAAGGGACAATGTTCTACTGCAGTACTCACACGTGTCTGGCTTGTGGCAGTTGTGTCCCTGACGGAAGTACTGAGGGTTCTCAATGACTGGGATGCGGGTCATACCGATGACCACCGTGTCTGGCCCGGCGTCCAACGATGAGGGCGTCGTGATGCCATGGTTGATGTGGTGCAGGGGGCTGGCTGAGTCCTCCTCACCACTGATGACAGCCACAGGACCTGTGCACACCAAGAGAGACACAGAATATCAGTGAAGTCGCGCCTGGGCAGTGCCCAGCCCTGCCCATAGATCCTTTTGCTATTTCTGCCACCACGTTTCTATAAGAGTATAATCCACTGGAAGAGTATTCCCTGAATGCTTTGGAGTCTGCCTTCAAAGAACCACCCATTCGATCTCTTTCTTGAGAGAGAGAAAAGCCCACTCCATCACACCATTGAAACAGCTGCGAAATAGTGTATCAGAGTGACTGTGCCATGAACTATTTTCACTTCCCCCAAATTCAAATTAGTTCAAAATAATGCAAATTTTAAATGAGTTCTTCACTTATGTAGCATCAACGAGATTTAAAAAAATTTACATAGCTGTGATTTGCACTCTGTTCCTGGGTGGGTCACATCCCTAGTTTCTGATTCAGGTTGTCTAGGGACACACCTGGGCATCAGAATTTGAAGAAATCCCATGTCAGTACCATGCAGAGTCAAGGCCTAGAACCTCTAATTAGGGCCTTGGAGTGCCTTAATTAGCCTTTCCAGAGTGGCCCTCCAATTCCTATAGGAATGTATCCAGCTTTCACTGGACTCTGCTATGGCTTCTGACAATCCATAGGGAGCTAAGCCCAGTATGGGCTCAGATTGAACCTGAGCCAGCTTTCAAAGTGACATTAATTCAGCTGCATCACTGTTAGCCTTCAGGTAGCCAGGTCAGCTGCCCACTCTTGAAAGATCCACATTGCTCCAGTGTCTTCAAGGAACATTACTCGCATCTTCACCAACCCCAACTCTACCATGTTCCAACTCAAAGAAAAAACCCGGTACCTCAGGTGATTTACAAACACAGGTTGACGAAGATTATTGTCACCACAGTCTTGGCAGAGCAATGATTCTATTTTCTGGTGTGATTCCCCCATACGTACAAATAAAACTCATGTCAAGTGAATTAGCTGTGACTGTGGCTTCGTACAACTGGTGTTTGAAATGCTTTGCAAGACACATGGTCCCAAGACAAAGTGCCCGCTGTGATTTGGTTTTGAGGCTTGTACAGTACTTCTGCTGCAGAAGTCTGACATATCTACTGAAGTTTATGGGGAGGATATTTCCTATCGAATAGCAAGGTGAAGCACCAATGAGGCAGAACTAAAGGAAAACTAATAAATGAGGCCTGAGTTCCCTGAATTCCACTCCCTTGGTACAGACAGGCTTATGCCAACCATGACAAGTGCCTGATGGAGTTTGGAGACCACATAGCAAAAGGAACCACACTTGGTGATCATCACTTGCCCTGCAAGTGGAGGCCAGTGCTGAAAACTCCTTATAAACTCTGAAAAACTTTGTTGTGATTCCAATGAAACAGTGAAAGCTGAGCACAGGTTCTTATCATTCCCCTCTTGCTGAATGCCTCTAAAATATAAAGAAATATTTGTGTACAAGGAGAATGAAGAGGGGAGACAAGAAGGAATAAGATATCTCAACGTTTTGGAAGATGAAAAATGAAATGATGTAAGCTTCCTCACAAAGGGACTGCAGGGGGAATATTTAGAGAAAGCCAGTTCAGTGGGGTCACACAGGACATGAAGGCACAGCATAGGCCTGAAGGCTGGAGTGGGGCTTGGGGCTGAAACAAAGTACCCAAGCCATGACCTTGCCCCCACTCCACCAGACTAGTAGTTTCTTCCTGGAGAAAATTAACTGGAGAGGCTGAGGGGAAGAGCTGGTTGCCTCCTTCCTGCTCCTAGAAGACAGAAACCAAGTATACCCACGTCTCTCACTGACCCTATTCCCAGTCTCATCCCCTGTAGGAGATTCAGAGGATATTCTCTGCAGAAACTGAATGTCTCAAAAAAAATACCTCGATGTTGGGCACCTGGGTGGCTCAGTCACTTAAATCATCTGACTGTTGACTTTAGCTCAGGTCATGATCTCATGGTCATTAGATCGAACCCTGCATCAGGCTCCATGCTCAGCGGAGAGTCTGCTTAAGATTCCCTCCCTCTCCCTCTGCTCCTCCCTCTATATGCACTCTCTCTCTTCTCTCTCTCTCTCTCTCTCTTTCTTATTTAAAGGTAAATAAGTCTTTAAAAAAGAGAAAAGGACCTAGATGTTGACATTTGGTGGTCTCCCAATGAAGTCATGTGTAGTCTGTGATTATGCCACAGTGAAGGCTAATAACTGATGAGGCCCACCTATGTGCATAAAGTGCTTTCTAAAACTTAATTCGTAAATATGGGAGAATAGTTCAAGATTCCCAGACAGTTCAGCAAAGCTTCAACATGAGAGAACACAAGATAAACAGACAATCAGGGACCTGCAGGAAACAGAGTAATGCAAGGAGAAGACTTTTTTTCTAAATCACGAATATCCTCAGAGAGACATATGAAGACGTCACATCCATAAGACAAGATTTTAAAATGTGAACAATTCAAGGGTAAGAATGAGTCCTTGAGAATTGCCACCATCAGAATTCAAAAGTCAAAGAGGAGTGGAAGGGATCCCTGGGTGGCGCAGCGGTTTAGCGCCTGCCTTTGGCCCAGGGCGCGATCCTGGAGACCCGGGATCGAATCCCACGTCGGGCTCCCAGTGTATGGAGCCTGCTTCTCCCTCTGCCTATGTCTCTGCCTCTCTCTCTCTCTCTCTCTCTCTCTCTCTGTGACTATCATAAATAAATAAAAAAAAATTAAAAAAAAAAACAAAGAGGAGTGGAAGACAAAGCCAAGGAAATTTTTCAGAAAGTCAAACAAAACAGAAAGACGAGGTAAGTAGAAAAGAAAAGAAAATTAAAGACTCAACCCAGAGATTCAATATCTGATTAACAGAAAGGTGGCAGGGTAGGGAAAGGGAAAAAGGGAAGGAGAGAGAGAATAGAAAAGATGGAAGGGAGGGTAAAAAAATTAGGGAAAAATTTCTCCAAATGACCTGTCCACTCCCAGTTTTCAGCATAATTAACACATGCATGCAAACACACATATCAAGACACAATGTTATGAAATGCCAGAACCCTGAGAATAAAGAAAATATGCTGAGAGCTTGTAGGAGGGAGGGATACGTCATATTTCAAAAGGAACAGAAATCAGAAAGACAATGCAATTCTCTGTAACAATGTACTATGACTGCACTGAGAAATCCCTTCGAATTTTTTTTTAAGATTTATTTATTTGAGAGAGAGCAGAGGGAGAGAATCTCTAGCAGACTCCCTACTAAGTGCAGAGTCCAACATGAGGCTTGATCTCAGAACTCTGACATCATGACCTGAACTGAAATCAAGATTTGGATTCTCAACTGACTGAGCCACTCAGGTGCCCCAATTCCTTCAAATTTTTGACGGGCAAAGTTTCAGCCTAGAGTTCTACTCCTAAAAGTGTATCCACTCATTATAAGGGCAAAAGATAGGTACTTGCAGGTGTGCAGACACTCACCTCCCCCTTCCTGGGAAGCAGCAGGAGGAGAGGGTTTGACAAAACAAATGGGCAAATGGGGAAAAGAGGGAATGTGAGATCCAGTTCCAAAAAGACCATATGATAGAAGGTCTCCTGCGCCTCACCCAGTTCTGTTCTCAGCATTATGGGATATGGGTTGTTATAGCAACATGGAGGCAGGACACTGAGTCAGGAGGAGTTTGGAGAAGACAGAACATTGGGACTTGAGCCTTTTACGAGAGGCTGTTTCTTTGAATCTGTGTCTCAGGGCATCAATGGACAGCGAGTGTCCACAAAAAGTCCCAAAGCCTATGATCTAAAACAGTCTCTGCTTTCTCAACATTATTCTAGGATCTGAAAGGACCAGGTGAGAGCCACAGGGAGGAGACAGGTCCTGCTACAGGCTCCCAAAGCCATGGGAAGGGACAGGGTCACCCAGGAAAACTTCACAGAAATAAATGAATAAAGCAGTCTTCAAAACCCTGAGAAACCCAATACTTAAAATGTGGGCAGAGGAAGGGGAGCAAGGGAAGGGACATGAGAAGAAATGGCCAGAAAAGCAGAAGAGAATCAGAAAATGACATTGACTTAGAAGTCAAAGGAGCAGAGTATCTAGAAGTTCAGGAGCATTCTATACTAAGGCCAAGTAGGATGAAGAACAAAAAGAAGCCACTCTTCAAGGAGAAGATGGCCTCCGTGATAGCAGTTCCCAGAGAGGATGGAGGAAAACATTCAATTATAGGGGGTTGAGGAGTAAACTGGAGATCTCACCATTGCCATCATAATTTTTATTGAGTGATTCTGACCTATCAGTCTCTATAAATGCAACTTTGTTAACTTTATAAGGCTTCGATGAGATTGGTACCTTTACTTTCCCCATTTTACAGATGGAAGCACTGAGGCACAAGCAGTGACCTGCCCAAGGACACACACTCAAAAATGGGATGCAAAGTGGTGGATGCTCTCTGGGCTGCAAACCCAGTCCACCTCAGAGACTGTGTTCATAACCGTCATGGGCACTGCCTCCCTGGAAGTGCAGACCATGGGGGACAGCATTTGTTCAATGGGACAGTTGGTCCATTGTGGCACAGTATCTTCCTCATGAGCATCTGCCTTCGACTGCAGGTCCCTGAGACCCTTTTCAAAGAGGTTGCTCTTGATCCTTGAGAAGGGGGACAAGAGTGAATAACCTCGTTAGACTCAAACAGATAGATTATAGATAATTCATCATGAGCTCTGCAGCCCAGAGCTGCTAAACGCTTGTGTTCAACTACAACCACATCAAAAGGAGCACAGTGCCGTCAGAATGCTGTCTGGTCCCTGAGGCCCTCTAACTCCCTTCACTCTTCCACAAACCACATTCCTTAAAATAAAAGGCAGTAAAGAGTACATAGACCCCTCACTTCAAAGAACTTGAGAGGGGACCCTTGTGGCTCACTCCTGCCCACCTGTGTCAATGTCCAGCGTTGACGGCTGTGGCCGGTGCTGGGCTGAGACAAGTCCTTTCGGGACACGGTTGCTCTGGGAACAGCAGGATATGTGGCCTCTCTAGGCCTGGGCATTAAAAGCTAGTCTCAAGTTTCTGAGTGG